AGGAATGGGAATTTAGGAATGGGAATTTAGGAATGGGAATTTAGGAATGGGAATTTAGGAATGAGAATTTAAGAATGGGAATTTAGGAATGAGAATTTAGGAATGGGAATTTAGGAATAGGAATTTAGGAATGGGAATCCGGGAATGGGAATTTAGGAATGGGAATTTAGAAATGGGAATTTAGGAATGGGAATCCGGGAATGGAGATTCTGGAATGGGAATTCGGAATGGGAATTCTGGAATAGGAATTTAGGAATGGGAATTTAGGAATGGGAATTCGGGAATGGGAATTCCTGAATGGGAATTTAGGAATGGAAATTTAGGAATGGGAATCCTGGAATGGAAATTTGGAAATGTGAATTTAGGAATGGGAATTCTGGAATGGGAATTTAGGAATGAGAATTTAGGAATGGGAATTTAGGAACAGAAATACGGGAATGGGAATTCTGTGATAAAAAAAATGGAGATTCGTGAATTGAAATTCTGAAATATAAATTTAGGAATTAGAGTTCAGGATTTTCAATTAGGTAGTTGAAATTCTAAAAGGGGAATTTGGGGAAGGGAATTCGAGGATATGAATTCGGGAATAGGAATTTCAGAATATTAGTTCGGGAATACAAGTTTAAGAATAAAAACTCGCGAAAAGGAATTCATGAGCAAAATCCTGGAATGGGAATTCTGCAACAAAAATATGAATTCGGGAATGAGAAATGCACTTTGTTATTTTAGGAATGTAATTTAAGGAATTGAAGTCAAAGATTCGGGATTCCTAGAACAAAATTTAGAAAATAAAATATGTGTAAATGAATAAAAACAATATACATGGTTATTAATGGAAAAAATTTGTTATATAATATTTATTCTTATGAACCTTAAAAGTTCATTATACTGGAAAGTCAAATAATGGTTATTATTGGAAAAAATTTGTTATTATATTTATTATTATGATATTATGTTATTATGTTATTAATAGTTCAAATAAAAATTTATATAGTAGTTTTCAATTTGCCTCCTACCAATCTTCACCTCCAGACGGGGTTCACACCCACGACGTGTTCATCGTGCACGGTACCAGCTGCACTGACTGGGTGGTGCATCAGCTGCTGCAGCTGCTAGAGCAGGTGCACGGATACACCTGCTACCTGCCACTCAGGGACCTCACAGGTGGTGCAGGTGAGTGGCAGCTGCAGTGACAGGTGCAGTGACAGGTGCAGTGACAGGTGCAGTGACAGGTGCAGTGACAGGTGCAGTGACAGGTGCAGTGACAGGTGCAGTAACAGGTGCAGTGACAGGTGCAGTGACAGGTGCAGTGACAGGTGCAGTGACAGGTGCAGT